AGACAAAATTTGGTATCAAACGAAAGATAATTGAATGGACTATTTGTAAACTTAACTCTCCAGTTTAACTAAAATAAACTACCACCTATAACATCCGAATAGCGTAAAAATGGACCCAGACACGCAGCGCCGCAATTCGCACCCGGGTAACATTAGACTCAAGCTAAACAGAGGGCCTATGCCTCTATCCATATTGGTCAGAACCATCCACAAATGTTCACCTTTGTATTGGACTGAACGTTTTCTTAAAGTTAAAAGCTTTTACCCCCCCCCCCCCCCCCCCCCCGCAATTAAATCCATAATATTTACATATAATTAGGCACAGAGTTCACTCCCTAATCTTTTAGAAATGGCTTAACGAAACCCCAAAAACCATCAAAGTAAATCTTCCTCAGAGCAAATTAAGGGACATGTTGTACCCAACTATAGCCTTTTGATTAAATCAGAAATTGGACAATAAAACCAGCAACACCATTTATTGGGCAACGATACCATTTCAATTAAAGCAAGTAATTTATATACGCTCGATAGAGAAGTTCATCAGAACTTTGTGCATAATTAAGGTAGGGTTTTAATAGCAGTAAAATTTAAAACATTTTTTTCTTCTTCAAAATTAATTTTTTAAATACTTTCAATAAAAGTTTTGTCAAACGAGATTTCCTTCTAAAACAACCCTCATGTTAAATTATTTTTAAAAAAAGACCCCCTCCACCACAAAAAAAAAAAAAAAATAAAAAAAAAATTTAAAATTTTTTTTTTTTTTTTTTTTTTTTTTTTTTTTTTTTTTTTTTTTTTTTTTTTTTTTTTTTTTTTTTTTTTTTTTTTTTTTTTTTTTTTTTTTTTTTTTTTTTTTTTTTTTTTTTTTTTTTTTTTTATTTTAAAAAAAAAACCCCCTCCAATCAAAAAAAAAAAAAAAAATAAAAAAAAAAATTAAAAATTATGTTTCGCTATTTTTACGTTGTGCTATTTTTATGTTGGCTATTTTTATGTTTGCTATTTTTACGTTTTGCTATTTTTATGTTCGCTATTTTTATGTTTTGCTATTTTTATGTTTTGCTATTTTTATGTTTTGCTATTTTTATGTTCGCTATTTTTGTTTGGCTATGTTTATGTTCGCTATTTTTATGTTTTGCTATTTTTATGTTTTGCTATTTTTATGTTCACTATTATTAGTTTTGCTATTTTTTTGTTCGCTTTTTTATGTTTTGTTATTTTTATGTTCGCTATTTTTATGTTTTGCTATTTTTATGTTTTGCTATTTTTATGTTCGCTATTTTTATGTTTGGCTATTTTTATGTTCGCTATTTTTATGTTTTGCTATTTTTTTGTTTGCTATTTTTATGTTTTGCTATTTTTATGTTCGCTATTTTTATGTTTTGCTATTTTTATGTGCGCTATTTTTATGTTTGGCTATTTTTATGTTCAATATTTTTATGTTTTGCTATTTTTATCTCGCTATTTTTATGTTTTGTCATTTTTATGTTTGGTATTTTTATGTTTTGCTATTTTTATGTTCGCTATTTTATGTTCGCTATTTTTATGTTTTGCTATTTTTATGTGCGATATTTTTATGTTTTTATATTTTTATGTTCGCTATTTTTATGTTTTGCTATTTTTATGTTCGATATTTTTATGTTTTGCTATTTTTATGTTCGCTATTTTTATGTTTTGCTATTCTTATGTTCGCTATTTTTATGTTTTGCTATTTTTATGTTCGCTATTTTTATGTTTTGTTATTTTTATGTGCACTATTTTTATGTTTTGCTATTTTTATGTTCGCTATTTTTATGTTTTGCTATTTTTATGTGCAATATTTTTATGTTTTTATATTTTTATGTTCGCTATTTTTATGTTTTGCTATTTTTATGTTCGATATTTTTATGTTTTGCTATTTTTATGTTCGCTATTTTTATGTTTTGCTATTCTTATGTTCGCTATTTTTATGTTTTGCTATTTTTATGTTCGCTATTTTTATGTTTTGCTATTTTTATGTGCACAATTTTTATGTTTTGCTATTTTTATGTTCGCTATTTTTATGTTTTGCTATTTTTATGTTCGCTATTTTTATGTTTTGCTATTTTTATGTGCGATATTTTTATGTTTTTATATTTTTATGTTTCGCTATTTTTATGTTTTGCTGACATTCTTTCATTTCGTATGCCACGTGTCCTTCATTGTGTTTCTCTTTCTTAAAAAATAGTTTGCCCCTCTTCTTTCTGCCCCACCACTGATTACTTGTGTGACTTGTGTGCCGTCTCATAAGTTAAACATTCAGTCTTACACACAGTTTGATGTTACACATTTAGTCTTAAACACTTGTTAATGTTAAACATTCAGTCTTACACACTGGTTCATGTTACATATTCAATCAAAAGATAAGAATAATTTGAAGAAGGAAAAAAAACCCTCCAAAATGAAACAAATCAACTACTACATATTCAATTACTACACATTCAACTATTACACAATCATCTGCTACACATTCAACTACTACACATTCACAGTTTCATCCATAGAGGTAGGTATTTTCTCCTAATTTTTGTCTTTCAAATATATTTATAGTGCTTACTCATAATATAAAATTGATCTGATGGAAATTTCTTTTTGAAACGAATGTGAAAAAAAATGGCAAAAAGTCTGACGAAGTTTTGATTTCTCCCAATTTAATATTTTGTTTTGTTTCTAAGGATTTATTTATTTATAACTCAAGTTTCCCGCGGCACGAACTTGTTCTCTTGCACCCTGGGACTAGAGGATCTTTTAGAAGACTGCAACCGTGGGATGTAGACACGACCTGCAAACATACAATACAAAGAACATGAAGGAAATAGTAGAACGGGGGTGTGGGGAAACTTGAATTGAAACACACGGCATTGAGATAAGAACGCTTCGGCTAAGAGCCTTCCTCAGCAGATAGGACAGATGAAAATAGAACATGAAATAGAAACAATCTTAAAAAACTTAAGTGATCGCCATTGTTATTGCCAGAAGTCAGATTTTCCACAACCAAGAATACAAGAAAGACAATAATTTATGAACTGTTGTGAAAAATAATGTCTCAAATCTTAACGGACAAAACTATTTTGGAGATATATCAAATATAAGAAAGGAAATAAAGAAAAAAATACAGTGAAATTGAGAATCATTCGTAAGAGCGTAATCTGATAAATTCCACGTGTTGATATTGTGCCGAAAAGCTGAAATAATTTGTATTAATAAAAGAGAAAAAAATCCAGATTAAAAAAAAAAAAAAATCACAGGTGAAGGTATTGTTGAGATGAATAAAATACGTTTTTAAAGAAACAAAAAATAAATATGCATGAGTATAAAGCATAGAATCGGTCGGCTACTGGCTATTGCTTTGCGTGTCTGTCGTGTGTGAATAGCCGTCTATCAGGAGTTAGGATCGGATCGTCTCCTTCGGCAAAGCAGGCGTTTATTTTGTGAACGATTTTAAGTTCTCAGATCGGAGTCTCTTATAATTTCTCCTGACCCCACGCCATACCCAACTGACGAAAACTAAATTGCAAAAAAACAACATTTAAGTAAAATAACTTATTTAAAATATATTAAGTGATCCGAAAATCCCCCCCCCCCACACACACACACATTAAACAATGCTGCTGGGGCGTACATCCTTCTCAGAACAGAAAAAAAAACGAAACAGTACAGGAATACCGTCCCCATCCTCAATGGAAACTGCAGGACTCGAACCCTGGTTGTAAAAACTGGAAACCAAATTTCTAAAACCGATGACCGGTATTGAACAACCCACCTTAAGACCTTCTTCTTAAGTTCTTTAAGGTTCATTCAATAGAAATGTATAGTGTGGAGTACAGCAAGTGGTGTAGGAACGGGGATGAGGAGGGGGCGGTGGTCCACACAGGGGCGGCCCTTTTTTTTCTTCAAATTTAAGGGCGGCATTTTCAGAATACGGCAAAGCTTTTTCTTATAGAAGGGGGGGGGGCAAAAATCAAAACCCCACCCCCCGGGCGGCACTATCCTCTAACCACGCCACTGAGTAAAACAAAAGCAAGATTTAAATTACGAAGTCGGTAAAAGCCAAGGTACCAAGGACATATGACGCACACGGTATATAGGCACCAGCGGTATGTACAACAAGGGAGGGGGGGGGGGTCACGTGACCCCCGTTGAAATGACGAAAGGACGAACTACTGGACAGCCCTAGTGTTAAGCACTTCTCACCTCACACGTCCAATCAAGATTGTTTTGCATCGGAATGGAAACTGCACCAGCCCTCACTAGTTGACGACAACTTGGGCCCAGCGACGTGATCAGAGCTGGACTGGTCGGTGAACACGCTGTCCGATTTCGTTGTGAAATGTAAACTAAAGTTATGCAGCGTACTGCTCGAAAGCGTGCTGCTGCCCGAACTATCGTCGTCGTGGCAAGATTCCCGGTCTTCCTTCAACTCGCACCTGTCGCTCTCCACATACGTGCTGCTGGGTTCTCCGATCAGCGCGAATCCGACGCTCTCCACATACGTGCTGCTGGGTTCTCCGATCAGCGCGCATCCGACGCTCTCCGCAGACGGGCTACCGAGTTCTCCACTCAGAAAACACTTATCGTTCTCGGCAGACGCGCTACTGGGTTCTCTCATCACAGCGCACCCGTCTTTCGTAACAGACTGGACACTGAGCTCTCTAATCAGCTCGCTCGCACCGTCCCGGAGAATCCGGTACATTTTAGTGTCCCCCACGCTCATCTCCTTGTTGCAGTGGGAGCAGGAACGAGCCAAGTCATTCTGGTTCTGCTGCGACGAGCTGAAACTTTTGCTCAGGAACTGCATCACCCGTTGGTAGCTGCTGTGCTCGCTGGTCGCCAAAACGGGCTCCTCTCCCATTCCTTCATCGAAAAAGTACGTCCTCTTGTACAAGCCTTTGGTTGTGACCAGCGCCGCTCTCGTGTACGAGGCGTTCCGGCTTAACCCCGCGGAGCTCGCCCCTTGTTGACCGCTGTGTCTTGACACTTGCTCTCGCCCTCTCGATCTGTCTGTGGCGCCGGTCGTAACCTCTTTGTTTTTTTTACGCCCGATGTGTCCTCCCGATTCCGACCACGCCCCTTTGACGTCATTCTCCTTCAGGCTTTTGTTGACTCTCGAGACGTTAAGAAATCGCTCGGAAGATGACGTCATTTTGAGAGTACTCCCGGATGTGTGCGACGCCATACTGAAAATGGGAAAAGGGGTCACGCTCTTGTAAGCGTATTTCTTAAATCGACTTTTGGCACTGGCTATCGACTTATTACAAGAGGACCTCCGAGCAGTTTCAGAGCCAGTATAAGAGCACTCGCTGAATGAGCATTTATTTGAGTGACTACGGTTTCTGCTGCGCGTTTCTGTCTGAAGGGGTGGGCTGAGCTTAGACTCACAATGAGAGGATTTCATACGATCGCCTACTTTCAGCTTGTTAATAGATTTATTGGGGAAAAGCCTGACCTTGACCTGTGTTGCGTCTAGGAGTATGGGCTTAGAGTGGTGTTTTGGTGGGCTGTTTGATATTTGATTTTTTTCTGTCCTCTTGTTAATTTTTGATATTAACTTTTTCCCATCAAGTCTTGGTGGGCTCGTGGATCGTCGTGCAACGTACGACTTTGATGACATGGATCTCTTAAGTTTGGTTTTATTCTGAGAGTTATGTATTTGCACCCCCCTACTCGTCCGTGTATGACACTGCACCCCACTACTCGCCCGTGTATGACACTGCACCCCACTACTTACCCGTGTGTGACACTGCACCCCACTACTCGCCCGTGTAAGACACTGCACCCCACTACTCGCCCGTGTATGAAAATGTACCCCACTTTTCGCCCGTGTATGATCCTGGACTCCACTACTAGCCCGCGTACGACATGGGACCCCACTGCTGGCCCGCTTATGACCCTGGACTCCACTGCTGGCTCGTCTAGGACACTGCACTCCACTGCTCACTCGTGTGCGACATTGGACCCCACTACTGGCCCGTGTACGACATTGGACACCACTACTCGTTCTGGAAAGAGGACTTTTCGTGCAGTGCACTGGTGATCGCTCTGGCCCCCTCTTGGTGACACTCCCCAAGCCACTCCTCGATCTCCGATACTTCCCATCATGCAAATCATTATGATACGAAGTGCAAAAAGCTCTTTTACTCTCCGTTTTTTTCGAACGCTTTGGGCTGCAAGACAAGGACCTCAGCTTAGCCTTGGCCATATTTTTGCTGACCCTCTCAAAGTTTGACCCGCTGTACTGTTTCATTTTACAGTTGGTCCTTTCTTTCAAGTATGAAATCTCGTCCTTTGATTGCCTCGCTAGTGTAGCTGCTGAGGACCTCAACGATTTACTGTCTTTTTTAACTTTGTGTATGGTACTGCGCGGACTGTGCGTGACCAGATGCGGGGCGTGTCTCAGTTGCTCTTCTGTGGGAATATTTTTTAGCTCCGAACGGGGCGCCGAATTTGGACTCACGCCCCGACGGTCACTGCTCGGCTTCTGGTAAGGGTGGAACGCACTGCAACTCAAGGAATGATGGAGACCTTGGTACGGGCTTATGCGAGATGACTGGGTAATTTGTTGCCACACTCCACTTTGCAGCACGCTTTGAGAAAATGTTAAGTGCTGCACATGATTAGAAGCGCTTATGTTAGAATAGGAAAATGGGATCGCCTGAAATGTGGCTTTACGTTTTGGAAATTTCGGAGATGAAGATCTTTTCCGTTCATGCAGTACTTTTTTAATGGTTTTATTTGGCCGAGTCTGGCTTGACTTCATGGAGGATTCCAACTTCTTTGGAGTAATTTCTTTGGACCAATGTTTAGTGCACGGCTTTCTGTTCACGCTTGAGCTGACCCTTTTGATTTTACCAGAAGCACACTTTTTATGCAGAGGAACTTTTCTACGCAACGCCGGATCAAAAAACACACGATGCTGAATCTTGGTTCTAAGAGACTTTTCTTTCTTCCGGAACAGTTTGTGTGGATGTTGGGAAGTCGAGCCGAAGGATCGGAATTTTTTGGCCCCCGGCCTCTTGTCCAGAGATGGATTGCACAGCTTGGAGCACTTGAAGAAGCCTTTGCCTTTCCTGAGCATCCCTAGGGTGAGTCCGCGCTGCGATGAGCACTTGGTGACACGGCGGGAACCCATTGACCTTGGCACGCGTTTGACCTTATCGTGACTTCCGCTCGGCGAGCTCAGTCCGCTGTGCGAGGACGATCCGCTCGACCGACGGTTGTGTTTGCCGAACCCGCTCACGGTCATACTGGACAGCATTTCGTCACTGTCATCCTTGCACACACGCAGAGCGGCTAAATTTTTCCCGGCTAGCCTGCAGGACGTGCCTTCGTCTTTCGTTTTGACGCGGCTGTCAAAGCACTCGACCTGACAGAGCTCCCAGTAGGGATCGGTCTTCGTTGTGCTGTCCAAGTCACTCGGGTCAGCAGGGACAATGTGCGGGACCAGGCTTGTTTTCAGCACGGGTTTCGACTTCCGTTTTGATCTTCGCGCTGCGGAGAAAAAAGAGTTGTTGGATTTGGTAACTGAAGGCGGTGTCGGGGCATCTCCGAACCCCACCACAGTTCCGGTGCTGCTGCTCAGAAGAAAATGCCGCATTGGGATTGGAGGCTTCCGAGTGACGCGATCGCCTCGCTTCTGGTCGGGGTGGCTGAGTTTGTGGCCCGGTACACTCTGAACGTGCAGTGTATTGACGCTCTGGGATTTCGGGAACTTCTTCCTGGGCGCTTTCTTTTTACCGAGTCCTGTTTCTGAGCGGTTGGCCCGGACCGCCCTGACTTTCTTTGGGGACACCCGCTCCTTGCTGGACACGGGCAGTTGGCCGACGTTGAGAGATGCCGCCCCGGGCAGAGAGCTGGTCAGTTTAGCGGGCTCGATCGGTCTGAAGGTGTAGTTGGCCATTTTTTTACAAACTCCCGGAACAGAGTTTTTCTTTTTACATTTTTTGCGAGCTGCCCCCGCCGGGTGGGCATCGTCTAGGACCCTTGAATACTTCAGGACCATGGAGGGGGCACACTTTTTACGTGTGGGCCTGGAATAGATGAATGATAAAAGGTCTTAGGTCACAAAAAAAACATTTTGAGATTTTCACATTCAAAGATTCTTTTTCATTTATAAAATGTGATCATTTTCATTTTTTTTTTGGCTTGCTTAAATAAGGAACTTAATTTAGTACATTGCAATGTCTTCAAATCTATGTAATACACTACTTGGCTAAACCCAATAAGAAAAAGTCAAAGTTTAGGTTGATTGAGACAAAAATGTGACTTAAGCAATTTTAGCACAAGGGTCTTCATTTTATCTTTAAATCTGAGATATGTCAGATGATAAATCTGTAAAGTGAAGGGATTCGTTCAGTCGAGTCAAACTCTAAAGCCTCGAAAGAAAAGACCAAATAAATGCTTTGATTGGTGACTACTTTTAATACGCCATAGCTCTTTTTGGAAAGTTGACTATAATGATTGAGAATAATCTGATCCCAGAAATTTCTATAAACCTATAAAATACATCTTCCTTTGATATGGAAAAGAAGAACTACAACAGAGGGGGATCCAGGCATGGTGAAAAAAAAAGCATCGATTAGGTCTGAGTGGAAGGACGTAGTTAGGCAGGCCAAAGCCCTACACGGGCTGTAGCATCACTGGGATGGATGTTCTGAGTGAAAGGACGTAGTGAGGCAGGCCAAAGCCCTACACGGGCTGTATCATCACTGGGATGGATGGTCTGAGTGAAAGGACGTAGTGAGGCAGGCCAAGCCCTACACGGGCTGTAGCTTCACTGGGATGGATGGTCTGAGTGAAAGGACGTAGTGAGGCAGGCCAAAGCCCTACACGGGCTGTAGCATCACTGGGATGGATGGTCTGAGTGAAAGGACGCAGTGAGGCAGGCCAAAGCCCTACACGGGCTGTAGCATCACTGGGATGGATGGTCTGAGTGGAAGGACGCAGTGAGGCAGGCCAAGCCTTACACGGGCTGTAGCATCACTGGGATGGATGGTCTGAGTGAAAGGACGTAGTGAGGCAGGCCAAAGCCCTACACGGGCTGTAGCTGGCTGTAGCATCACTGGGATGGATGGTCTGAGTGAAAGGACGTAGTGAGGCAGGCCAAAGCCCTACACGGGCTGTAGCATCCCTGGGATGGATGGTCTGAGTGGAAGGACGCAGTGAGGCAGGCCAAGCCCTACACGGGCTGTAGCATCACTGGGATGGATGGTCTGAGTGAAAGGACGTAGTGAGGCAGGCCAAAGCCCTACACGGGCTGTAGCATCACTGGGATGGATGGTCTGAGTGAAAGGACGCAGTGAGGCAGGCCAAAGCCCTACATCGGCTGTAGCGCCACTGGGATGGATGGTCCGAGTGGAAGGACGTAGTGAGGCAGGCCAAAGCGCCTACATGGGCTGTAGCGCTACAAGGATGGATGGTCCGAGTGGAAGGACGTAGTGAGGCAGGCCAAAGCGCCTACGTGGGCTGTAGCGCCACAAGGATGCATTGATACATCTTCCGGGAGATGTCGATGGTAACACATACAGGAGAAGCTGAACGTACTTTTAAATCTATCATCGCGATTTGAGCCATAGGTTATCAAAAAAAAATAAAATATTGCTTAAATCTGATAAGCGTTGTTAGCGAGCAGCATGTTTAAAGACTTACGGACAATAAATCACACATTGTAAGGACCTACTGATCTTCAATCAATTCTTCACTAATCTCCTTACCTAAATAAGACTCGGTAAAAATTAGACACCTGACCCATTGTTCTTCAATGAATTATTCACTATTCTACTTACCTAAATTAGACTCTGTAAACATTCGACACCTGACCCATTGTTCTTCAATGAATTATTCACTATTTTACTTACCTAAATTAGACTCTGTAACATTAGACAGCAGGAAGTCGGTACATTGAAATATCTCTGTCAGAAGTTCAGTTCCATCATTCATTTCAAGTACTGGAAACACGGAGTCCATTGAGCAGTCGTTTCAGAGATTTGAAACCACTTCATGAACCACTTCCCATTAGAGCTTTATTGGTATTTTAACGTTGCTATATCAAATTTACTTCTAAATTCCATGTTGATTCTTTGGCCCATGAAACGCATGTAACAAGAGGTTGGTGCATTTCGTATTACTAAGAAATCCTGTCAAAAGGTTATCTTATAACAATTACACGTGTCACAGTGATTTTAGGTTTAATAAGAATAATTTATTGTGTGAATGAACCAGCATGTAGCTGCTATTCAATGTCCTATTATTGTATGAACGAACAAGTCTGCTGCTATTCAATGTCCTATTATTGTATGAATGAACAAGTCTGCTGCTATTCAATGTCCTATTATTGTATGAATGAACAAGTCTGCTGCTATTCAATGTCCTATTATTGTATGAATGAACAAGTCTGCTGCTATTCAATGTCCTATTATTGTATGAATGAACAAGTCTGCTGCTATTCAATGTCCTATTATTGTATGAATGAACCAGCATGCACCAGGTATTCAATGTACTTTTGGCACAAGCTAATTAACCCTGTCTTGTCTTTGAGCTTCACGCCTTAGTTATCCACCACACTCCCCCCCACCCCCGGAGGAAAAAAAAGGCAATGATATTTGTGTGTGTGGTTTGTGTAAGCACATTTTTTCTGCACTTAGTTTTTTTA